GAAGGTCAGGAGGATGGGAGTCAATCTCACCTCAGGGGGCAAGAGGATCCAAAGGGCAGGAGCCACAGCAGAGAAGGCTCTTCTCCTGGCCTTGCCAGCTGGTATTCCCTGACTGACAGAGTCTGCAACATGCCTCCTCTGCTGGCACCGGTGAAGTGGGCCTGTCCCATTGGGGTGAGATGGTTCCTCAAGTAACTTGGACTCATGCCACGCAGGGCTTTAAATGTAATAACCAACACCATGAACTGTGAAGAACCATTGCATTACTATTTTATTTGATTATTACTACATGGATATTAGAGTTAAGGAAGTGAAGAATCTTATTTTGGATAAAATTATGTTCTGAAATACATTGAGCATGAAAACCACTCCTTTGAACTAATGAATTTTAATGAGTCCATCAAACATATTTTGATTCCTTAGGGTTTTTTTTTGGTAAATCTAGTACTGCAGGGAACAAAGCAAAGGCCATGTTTTTGCATAATGTATTGAAATCTGTCTTCTAATTTCCTTCCTCATTTTGGCACCTCATCGTTGGAATGCTTTAGTTTTTCAGTAGTAATCCATTTGGTGCTTTTGAACTGTATTTCTGCAAGATGGCACAGTCGGGCTTTTTTTTTTTTTCCCTCTTCTGTTTTCTCTGTGGTGGTTCACTTTTTCTTTACTGAAAAAGCCACTGTGGAAGGGTTGCTTGATATTTCACTGAAACGTGGGAAGCCAGAGAGATGCAGACCATCGAAGTGAAAAAGATAGGACATTCATAAGTAAAGGAAATGGAAGAATTATATATTCCACCTATGAGAATTTTTAGAAATAGGCAAGAAATGCATTTTCTCCCCATCCAATTATGTGAGAATAGGACAAAAGGAGATGATGATGATGATGATGATGATGATGATGATGATGATGATGATGATGATGATTTCAATTTATATGCCACCTGGCTCTCTGTGACTCTGGGAGGATGATCATTTTGTCATTGTACTCTATAAGTAAAGCTTTGTCAGAGTAATTTGCCTGACAAGGGCATTCGCTCAACAGCTTCAGATCTGACAGAAGAGAATATTTGTAGCCTTGGGATGTACAATGAGATCCTTGGTGCTCTCTAAAGTTGATTGTTTTCTTGCAGACGTTTGCAGCCCATTGATGATATTATCTAGCATGGTGAAGAATGTCTGCAAACTCAGAGAACACAAGAACCGCACAGCTTTAGATCTTTATTTTCCATGAATTGTTCTATAGCAAATATTTTACTTGGAATCAAACCTTGATCACTATACCACAAGATGGGGCAACCAACCTTTGGAGATGATTCAGAAGCTGCAACTGGTGCAAAATCTAGCAACCAGGTTGCATACAGGTCAAATCTGATATGCATTTTTAGCTCACTTTGCTAGCTGCCAAAGTGCTTGTGGTCACTTTTAAAGCAGTATGTAGCACAACATTGGGATGTATCAGAAACGATCTTGCCAGAATCGAATCTGTCCATCTTGCTTGAACATCTGAAGAAAGCCTGCTGAAAGTCTCCCTTCCTTGTTAGATGCATAGGATATAGTTATAAATCTATGTATCTTTCAAGGAAGATGAATTTACAAGGTCTTCTCTTGCTATCCAGACTGAATGGACGGCTTCAGACTGAATCAGGCTTGAAAAATCTATTGACAACCAATGCAACAACTTCAAGATAGGTTTTATTCCAACCTGTTGGGATTGTCCTATTAGAAATCTAGCTGTACCAGTTGTAGCTTTGCGGTTGCTTCTCAAGGCACATCTACATAAAGCACATTACAATAGACCAACCAAGTAGTAATTAAGGCTTTGTAGGAGATGACCAGGCTGAGGCTGAGGGAGGGGTCAAATGCATCATCAGCCTTGAGTCCCTTCATGCACACAAGAGATCTAAGTCCAGCCCACCTTGAATTCCATTGACTCTTATCTACCACCAATTTGCTTTGACTGTTAGTAATTCAGATTCTTGTAGAGA